TCGCCGAGTCACCTATACGACTCGCCGAGTCGTCGCCATGCATCCACCAAATACACAGATTTACTCGATTTCAGTCCATGCCATTCATAGATCTGGACTTCTAGGACCCAAATCACACGTAAAGTTTCCAACTTTACGTGTGGATATTCACTAATGTGGATTTTAGGGTGCAAAATGCCTCAAAAGGGTAGATCTAGGATGAACAAGCCACATGGGGCCATAAAGCTCACAGATCTGAGCTCCTGGAGCTCAATCTTGCCTAGATCTAAAGGTTAATCCACTTATTACGAAACATTAAGCACAAACAAGCTTGAAGAATTGCTCAAGGGTGTCCCAAATGAAATCCTAAGCATAGAAACAGGGGGAAAACGAGATATACCTCAAGGAAAATGTTGAAATGACACAAAGATGGCTGATCTCCTTCTCCTTCTTCTTGATCTACTCCTCTTTCTCCTCAAAACCTTCAAGAACACACCAAGAACACTTCAATTTCTCAAGGAAACAAGGGAAAACGATGTTGGGGGAGTTCTGGGGGTGAATGGGGACGAGTTGGGGCGGAATGAAGGTTTAAATAGGGTGCAAACCCTTGAAACTTAGGGTTTCATCCAGCAGCGGTGACTCGCCGAGTCCAAGATATGGACTCGCCGAGTCGCCCACTTAAACGTGTCCTGAGTCTCGTCCCTACTCGGCGAGTCGGACCCTATGACTCGCCGAGTCCAAGGCTAAATTAGGGCAATGCTCAAATAAAATTCACATACCGGAAACCAGGTGCTACAAGGAGGTTTCCAGAGAGTTAAAATTTTGTATGGTGTTTGACACATTGGTTCGGATTTCCAGAAGAGCAAACAGATCAATGTAATCTCCTGCGAATGATCCGGTGTCATAGTTAGAGTGTTACGTTTTGTGTCGGAAGGTTCCATATTGATGGAAGGCCCATGTTTGTTAGTTGCAGCATCATCTTGAAGTTGCTGATTTGATTCATATTGATTGTTATGAGTGGAGGAGGAGGAGCCAAAATCAAATGCAGACTTAGATGCATATGGCTTGGAGATAAAACGAACAGAAGAAAACACATTTGTATCAACAACATTGACACCACCTTAAGTCATTAGTATTTCTTCAAAAAGTTCATCATTTGAGGTTGAATGAATTGAAGCACAGGGTGGAGACTTGGGAGTTTCACCAGAGGTAAATGCAAGGTCAACTACCTCATATGTTGGAGCAATATAGGGCAAATTGCTTTGAATCGCTCTCTTCTTCATTGAAATTAAGGTAGACTCCACTTGTGATCTCGTAAGCTATGGATTCTGAGAATGAGCTATGTTCAAAAAATCTTCCCACAAAGGATCATTAATACATGGTCGTCCTATACCCTTACCAGGTATTAGACCAGTTGAGGCATCAAAGGTTGGAGGGACAACTCCTTCCTCAGAATGCTTGGGGTCCGGAGCAGGGGTTCCGGAGTGTGCGAGTGTGAAAGAAGATGGGATAGCAAAAGTGACTCGTGGGTTTGTTCCAGGGGCAAGAAACTATGCTCAACACTAACATCACCTTTTTGGGAAGGTGAGGGTGGATTATGAGCAGACTCCCCATGAGTGTGTGCATATGCTTTTGAAACATCAAGGGGTACCTCATATGAGTGTGTTGGAGGGCTTTTCGGATGGCCAGAGTCAGTCAGAATGTCATAAGCTCTCTCCTGTTGAGAGGAAGCTGACTTTGGATCTCTTTTTTGGATTTGACTTATTGGGTGAAGTCTTCCTTTTGGCAGACTTTTTAATTTTTCCTCCGGACATAAAAGGATTGGCCTCTTCCGGAGTGGGCTCAACGGAGACTAGGGCAGGTTGTGTTGGCTCGAACACAACCAAATTCTCTAGGTGATGTTTCAATTGAATTCATCCGGAAGGAATCATGGCCAACTTGTGGTTCGGAAGTCGTCTAACGGGTCCGAAGGAAGATTGGTCCGGTATACAATAATGCTTGACATTTTTAAAAGAAACATATACCTCTTTCAGAATTGTGCACACATGAATAGGTCACTACTAGAAAAACAGTTTTTTACGATGCTCATTGCGTGTCGTAAGAGGCTCAGACGACACGCAAATGCGCGTCAAGAAACGCCCTGTCATAAAGAGAGACAACACGCATTTACGAAACTCATTTACGACGTGCAATTACGACGCGCGTTTACGAAACGCAATGCGTATCAAGAAAGGCCATGTCATAAAGGAAGACGACACGCATTCGCGTGTCGTAACCTTATGACGCGCGTGTTAATGACACACAATGCGTATCAAGAAAGCCCCCGTCAAGAAAGGCCATGTCATAAATGAACATGACACACATTTTTGCGTATCATAATTTTGAATGTTTAAAAAAAATATTATTTATAGATTTACTTATTTTCAAATTAAATTTGTATTTAATGTTTCATAATAGAAAATAAAATTTCATATACAAAAAATAGAATCCATTGTATAAATTTAATGTCATACAAATAATTGTTCCATGGAAAGATAAAACAAATCAATAGAAGTTGTAACAAAAATTTACAAACAAATTAGATACAAAAAAAATACAATCCATTGCCCTTTGCTTATTCAAGATCAACTTGCAAGTAGCTAACTGATCTGTACAAATTCACCCTTGTTTCTAATCATTTTCTTAAATACTTTACAAACATAATTCATCCATAGTACCTGAACTATAGTTGCAGCCTTGTTTCTTCTTCTTCTGAACTCATCTCTTGCAACCATTGCTCTAAGCCTAGTCTGAATAGATACAACAGCTCCTTGTCAATTATGTGAAAAATACAACCGGTGAGTGGCCTACCTTCATAATACCAACAACTAACGAAGTAGGAATGAAAGAGAAGGCAATACTCACAACAATAGCTGTAGTGAATGCATCTAGGTCCTACAAGATCATACAAATCACTATTTAAGTACACACTACATATAAAGGTGTCAATATTCTGATTGCATGTACTTAATATATAAAGACTCCAACAATAAATAGATATGTTATGCTACCTTGAGACACCTTTGAAGGGGATCCAAAAGATAATCTGTAGTCTTATCAACTTGGATGAATCCCATTGTTGTAACAGATATTTCAAGAAGAATATGACTAACCAGATATATAAACATGTATGTATAATTAATAAAACACAATTAAATGATGAAGATATAAGATTCTGTTATTCAAGATTCTGAAATTTTTGTAATTATTTTTTCTTATTTTTTTCTCAATTTAATATAAGGGGCGGGACACAAACAATATAATGAAGGGGCAAGAGGTTACACATTTTTAATACAGATAACTATTATATTTTAATAGTTATTCTTTTTTTTCACCATTATTTATGGTCAAAGTGAAGCAACCCTTGGTGAGTTGATGCACCTGCTTCACTTGACCACTAATTTAGAAATGCATGTTCGATATGTCAATGTTTTCTCTAAAGATCTACTGTTTGGAAACTTGGTAAGATTAAAAATCTTTGTAGGTATGGTTAGCCATGTGATCAGTTACTCACGTACAGTCTGTGTAAGCTTTTCCACCTGATCAACAATCTTTTGTCGATGCATTTTATCCATAATTTTATTTTCCTCCTAAAAAACAAAACCATAATTTAATTTTCCTCCATGAAATCGATATGATTTAAAGATTTAAATATTAAAAGCATCATACCTAACAAATTTCTATCAATTTCATCAACTCCTGATTCTTGTTTTGAAGATTATCCACCATCGAAACTTTTGCTAATGCAACTTAAATAGTCCTTTCAGTGTCAAGTAAAGCAGCTTCCTTTGACTTTGTCAATCCATCTAATGCTTTGTTGTCATCTGGTAACTTTGCAATCTGAAAGACAAAAAGGAAGCATGAGATTATTATAGTTTCTAAAATTATTTTGTAGCATATAACTTTTATCGAGCAAGTTTGAGGTCAGCCTCCAATGGTGCAAGAATGGCTTCAATTGGTGACATCTCATCATCTTTTTTAGCAACATGAACTCTTCATAGAGTGGCTTCTTTTGCAAACTGTGCTGCCATTGATGCTTTCTTTTCATCATTGATATTCTTGATTTCAAGATTCTACAATAACAAAAAGTATATCTTGTTATATGTAACAATATGATGAAAACAATGTAGAAGGGGTTGAGTATTGAGGTGGTTTAGTAAATACTTTGCTTTCTAGAAGATATCCTATCAACTTCAGGTTCTCATCTACCTTTGACAATTATTCAGTTAGCTATGGTGACATGACAAAAAGAAGAAAACTATGTCAAAGTTAACCCCTAGTGTATAGATATGACATTATGAAAAATACAAGAGATAATAAAAGGGAAAAATAGGAAACACAATAATCACATAACTACCCCATGATTATTGAAGCTTTTGCACACATTACATCATTACTAACATGTGCAAATCCATTTCCAAATGAACGATTCAACCCCATAAGCTTTTTATGAGAAGTATTCACAAGAATAGTAACATCTTAATTTCCATCATTACCCATGAATGACCAACCCTCATCAGGAAACCCATTTAGAGCTTCATTAAAGCCCCTGAAGAATAAAAATTTTACGAATTAACCCCCTTAAAACTTATCAAATTGCAAAATGGTCCTTATGGATTTCCTCCGACTTAATCCTATTAATGTTGCAGGTCTTCTCCTCTAATTTGCACTACTAGAATTCGAAGCTTATAGAGCTATCTGTCTTAGCTGGCGTAAATCCTGCCACATATTCAAATTTCTATTAATTAACTAAAATGACATAAGGGTATATTTGGAAACGTTATGGATTTGAAATGTTGTATTACCATCATTGTTTTTTGAGCAAGAATAGTTGGAGATTCATATAAAGGACGCAAGACTTTAGGTACCCTCCATGCCTAATGAATTATATAATAAACTAATTTAGAATATTAATGGAGTTTAAATATGAATATATTTGAATCTAAATAAAGTATATAGTTTGTTTGATGATACCTCCAAGTTCATATAATCGGCAATGTGAATAATGGAGCCACAACATCTTCATAAGTAGGAGGTACCCCTTCTGGTGATTTCTGAGATTGATCATTAGCTTTCACATTGCTTCCTCTGCAATAAAAACAAACACATCACCACAATGGGTCCGACATAAACAAAGAATATATATATATATATATATATATATATATATATATATATATACACACACACATACACACACACCCCTTGATGAATAGTGTCCATCATCATAAGCATGTTGTTCCCTTACTCTATCAGAGCTTCTACTTCTTCTGCCATAGTTTTCAACATCAAAGCTTCTTCTACCTCTATTGTATGCATCATCTTTAGTAGTACAAAGTGAAAATCTTCTATGTCATCTGTGATTAAAAGGAAGATTTTTGTAAATCTGGGAGTTTTATAACAAGGGATCAGAAATTAAATTTTTTTTAACATCGGTGGTAGTGGTTGTGGAGGTGAGAAATGATTGTGGAGGCTGTGAAAGTGACAAAATGGTAAATTACCAAAATAACCCTACATGAACTTTGTAAATGATGGGTAACATAGTATATATTTACTTCTCTAAGTACATGGAACTAAAAATTTCTAGCATAAAGAGTCCCAACCTGCAGTAAATTACCAAAATAACCCTACATGAACTTTGGATTGTGGAGGCTGTGAAGTCAAAAAGAGTTCTAGCCTGCATAATTTTTAATTTAAATATATTATATACATTATTTGATTATGATTGACATATGTTGGCCCATCTGCCTATCCAATTCTTAGTTGTTTGATTTCATGCCTACTCACATCAGCAAATATGTTGGATGGTGGTGTTTATAGAAACAACTTATGAATTTATCATTTGATCAACTTCTTTCAGCTTCTCCTTGATCTGCTTTAACAAATGAAGAATCTCAGGTATCTTCACAATTAACAACAAATCAGAACATTAGAAAGATAAAGTGATATGAAAATGTATAAGGGAAAATTAGTTATTTGATGATATCCATTAGAGCTAATAGCGTACCTTGTTATTTCCTACAATTTTCCTTAAAAATTTAACATAAATTTTGAGGTATGTTGTTATCATAACCAATTTGGTGATATCCATCATCATTTTTTTGAAGTATACATCCTAATTGTTCATGCATTCACACAAATGTAGATATATCAAACAACATAGGGATAGTGCATTATGTAAGTCATTTCTTGGGGTAGCATTACCTTGCATGTAGTCATCTAGTAATGGTGTCCCCCTTTCTGTCAATGATTACAATAAGTGTCACTTAGTGTAGATATTTCATAGATATGTTATACTACAGTTGCTTGGGTAGTACCTGAATCATGATTTTCAGTTACTAGCTGCTTCCATACCTAATATAGGAGATAATGTTGACATTAGAATGTGTTCTAGACAATAAATGCATGTATGAAGACGATTTAATGATAGCATATTCCATGATAACATGAAACATCCAATTAATAATATTGCTCCAGCTCCACCATCATTATTATCATGGTATAAGTGGTACATACATGAATATGATACATCTAGTCTTCAGGGGTAAAAGAGGTATCTTATTTCACCTGAGACTATAGCCTTCCTAACTTCTTTATGGAAATAGAATTTAAGAAGTGGTACTAATGTTGGTGCAACCTGTTTTTTAGTAAAAAGTTAAGCCGATTTTTTTCAAATGTAAAAAGACAATAAAGGGTAAAAGAGGAATTTCATTTCACCTGATCAATCCATGGGAAAAACCCTTCTTTTAATTCATCAGTATAGCAACATATCATGTTGCATGTTGTGGCTTTCTCGTCAAGGACACTAGTTTTGGTCCTTATTATCTTATCTCCAAGTGTAATAGTCTCAATGTTGCAATATCAAAGGGTAAAATGGTCATTAACTCTCATTCAAACATTTCATTTATTAAAAATCACACCTTTCATCATCAGACCGTCAATATCATCATCTGAATCATCAGCATAAGTAATTGTAACATCTGGTTTAAGTTGAATAAAATGAAGCAATGGTGGCATCACAACATTCATGTAAGGGAGAAAATCTTGCCCTAGGCACTTGCAGAGTCTTGCCCATGCCTACAACAAAAATATATAATTATAAATTTATAATATGTAATTCAATTTGTTTTAAAAGATTAAGTTTAAGAACAGAAAAAGAAAAGAAGCGTACTTGTAACATGTAGCTTATTGTTGGATCATTTGTCTCCAATTGGGAACCTTGAAGTAACATAAGGACATCCATAACCTTGAAACATGTAATAAATTATGACTTTCCAAGATGAAAAAATAAAAACATTTGTAAATTACATATTTATAAATATATATAAGTATACCTGTTTAGCATCATCTTTGAACTTATCTTTTCCAACAGCCATTCCAACTAAACTAATACACTCCATGGATTTGGCACGAAGCATACAATTAGCTTTATCAGTTTCATTCATGAGTATAGCTTTCAACTATGGCATAACTTCATCATAATACTTTTGAAAATGCTCCTGGAAGTGCCCCTTCTGATTCAAGCTCACTTATGATGCTCTGTACGACCTAATAACAAACAAAGTGTTATTCAGATTTCTCAATCAGCTCCAAAAAACTTAATTTTTTTTATTGAAATAGCCAAAAAAAATGACAAGGAGGCACACATACGTGAGGGAAGCATATAGGAATTCCCATGTCAACTTCAATCAGTCAAAGGTGGGTCAACAGAAACAGGATACTATCTGATGACTTTTAGTTCAGAAAAAAAACTAGTCTCCTGGCATTTCATCGAACAGCTTGCCTACATAATCTTCATGAAATGCATCAGGAGTGTTCCTTGAGTAGTTATCTGCTTCATCATCTGGCCCAAACTCATTTAAACTAAATTATATATATAATGGAAATGTATTTAGAATATATCTTTGTGGTTCTTGCAAAGATCCAGTATTAGTAAGGACAAAGGGAGTCATCATAAGTTCTTTCTTGAAGGAGCTATCTTCCTTAATCAAAACACTAATTTCATCAAAAATAGACAAGAGAATCCCAGGCTCAGAGACAAGTTCTGGAATGCGACTAAACATATAGCCTTTATAAAATTGGACTCGAGAAGGTTCTCTGATGTCTAATGAAAGTACATTGTTGGAGTCTGGTGAGAGCATTATCTAGAGTAGGATTGCGAGAACTAGAAGTTGCAACATAAATACATATATTATATAGATATATCATATCTTTCTTCGATTTCCTTCTTCTAATCCCAAAACTTGAACAATAGCTCTTCTTCCTCCTCCTTGACCTGGAATCATATGAATCGTCTGAACCATTGATCAGAAGAACTTGAAGATGAAAGATGGAAACAAAGGTGGAGGAGAATAAGGGAAACTAGATACAATAAAAATAAAGGCCAAAGACCACCTAAGAAGTGATCAATGCCAAAAAAATAGGGGGGAAATGAAAATTGCTAAAATCGCATGAGAGAATCCATGAATTTTAGGGAAAATACCACCAGTTGTTTGTGGTTTTCCTTAGTAGCAGGATTTTTAAAATTCTTTTGGGATTTCATTCTATAATTTTTGGGAGTGCAATTCGATGATTGATGTAGAAGGGTTTTTACAGAGAATGAAGATCTAGAGGAGAGGGTGAGGATGCGTATCACGAGTGGTTTAAAATAGTGATGGGGGGTTTTATTATCGGTGTAATGCAACAGTAAAGAATGGTTAGAGAAGATGGTCGGAGACACTTGGTGGTGCGAGATCGGAGGTTAGGTGGTGGTGCGATGTTGCTATGAAGACGAAGGCCTAGGGCATTTTCTTGCTAATTGTAAGAGGCGGGGAGGGGGGTTTTAATTTTTGGGATTCAATAGGCGGGTGAAATCTTGCCTTAAAAACGTGTGTTTCATTAAAATATTATACAGCGACACATTTAGACGACGCATATTTTATAAAAGGCACCCTCTGCATTTTCTTTTTTTTTTCTTTTCTGACACTAATTTTAGGACACGCACAAACGCGTGTCCTCTATCCTTCAAATTTTTCAAAATTGACATTATTTTTTAGGGCACACACAAATGCACATCTTCTATCAGAGAGTGTCATTGTTTGCGCGTCATTAAAGGGATTTTTTCTAGTAGTGGGTTCGGATCTCTCCTTGTACATCTCTTGTAGTGTCACGGTCCAAAACCTAGGGCTTGAAATTTCATTGTTTTTCCTTTTTATTGCAAACATGCAGAAATCCTGCCATAACACTTCTGGAAGATCAATTGCATTGCTACATCCAGAGTAGACGTTGTAGACCAAGTTCAACCAATCTTTGCTAAGGGTGTCCGTTCCACCGTGGTTTCCAGATGACCCTCTAATGATGAAATGCATTAATACAGTCCAGATTCCTGAAACAGCAGACTTCTTAAAATCCTTTGCCTTGTAATCTTGAGTGTAACCAATGTAATTAAGGAACTGTAGCAATTCTTTGTTCGTTGGTTCTTGTACTTTAAATACTTTTAGGTTTTCTTTAACACTGATTGCCCTGAGAAAGGTGGATTTATGGATGGGCACGATTCTATCACTTGTGATTTTTGTTTCAAGAATTCCATTATCAATCTTGATTCTCGTGAAGGCAGTGTGCAGAAGAGTTAGAGGTAGAGGAGGTTCTCGAACTTTGGTGAGTGGAATAGATATGGGATGATGAGCAATGAACTCAATCATCACTCACTGGTTCATCAAAATCCATGGGATTTATCGAGAAAAGTTGGGTTGTATCTCTTAGAAAAGGCTCAGAAGAATGTGACGATGAAGATTCCTTCGAAGATTTTTTTTTTGGTGGCAGTTTTGTTGGGTGTTGGAGCAGTTTCAGTAGGTTGTTGAGAAGAAAATCATGACGCCATTGATGAAGGATTGTGATAGCTTGAAGAACACGATATACATAGTGAATTTGAGAATTTTTTGATGATGTAGGCGCGTAAAGAGAACGATGGGCTATTTAGGGGTTTTTATAGGCGAGGGAAATGGATCGGGTATAAAAGGGTAATAATGAGGATCTGAATATGGAAACTGATGTGCGTAAACTCACTTAGTTTTAATCCTAGTTTTAGTTGTAAAATAAACACACAAGGCAGTGTACCTATCAATTGTGGAATAGTTCAAGCAAGTAGGGTATCGAACACAGGGAACGGAAAATTAAAAATAAAAACTAATTATATCTAAATTAATTAATAAGTAGAGGGTTTTCTCTAGTTTTACAAGACTAGAAACTTGCTAACTATTACTTAATCTAAAAACTAGAAAAAACAAAGAATTAACTAGATTCAATAATACGAAGGGACTTCTGTTTAGTTCAACTCAATTGATCCTATGGTTGATTTCAAGGTAATAGTGCAATGGATTAATTCTTTTGTTGGTTACCGATTCAAGTGATTAGGTTCGCGTTCACTACACTAATCCTTAGCAAATAAACTAACTTAAACAGTGATCAGTTGTCTAATTCAATTTAGTTCACTAGATTAATTATTCGGATTACTTTAGACTCACAATAGTTAATCAATTTGGTTTTAAGTAACTTCTTGTTGATGGTCATCACACAAGCTTGCACATGAATTTACTTAATTTTCTTATTAATCCTAGGTTCATGTTCATTAGTCCTAGACATATAACAAAGTAGTCACAAGGTATATGAGGTTGATAATCAAACGATCTTCATGCTATTTAATTACCTTCCTATTAACAGAAAATTAATTATCATTCACACACAAGGTTCTTTAGGAAGCTAAAATAACAAATAAATCACCAACATTGAATTAATCATACCAATAATCAAACCATAGTCTCAATTTTGTATCCCCAAACAGAAGTTTAAGAGTTTTAGCTCATGATTGAAGTAAATAACAGCATAAAAACAAATTCTAATTGTCTAACCATAGTGGAAAACAAAAGATTAAGTATAATGATGAAATTTGCCTCAAATCTCCTTCGGGATTGAATTGTAGCTTCTATCTTCGTCTTCTAGGGTTTCTCTGGCCTCTGAATCGCAGCTAATTACTCCAGAATTATCCCAGAAGTTTTTTTCCTCGATCTGAGAAGTTATCTATATATTTGCGTATCGACTCGTCGAGTCAGGTGGCGACTCGTCGAGTCCGTCTCACAATATCCGTATGCGATAAGCATCTGGGTTCCCGAGTCATTATCCTCACTTGGACTCGTCGAGTAGTCGACCTTACTCGCCGAGTAGGTGCTATTTTTGGTGTTTTTCTTCTTTATTGAATTCCCGAGCTCCTAACCGCTTCTCCTGCTTCCTTTTGCTTCCGAGCTTCATTTTTGGACTGAAAATAAAATTCAAACACTTTTAAGTACCTTTTGTCCATAAAATGCAATAATTTAGCTAATAAATGAATAAAAATCTATACTTAATACAAACTAAATATGCACATATCAAAATACCCCACACTTGACTTTTGCTTGCCCCCAAGAAAAACTGAATTTTAAGAGATTAGAATTATGTGTGACAACTCCAATCTAACCCAGCCATTATGCCAAGAACGCAACGCATGCATTTGTGTTTAAAGTTTTCCTAAGGACCCCCCATACTCCAAATACTCACAATCCTCATAAACATTCGCCCACTCACCCCGAACTATGCTCATTTTATGCAACCCTTCGAATCCATCCTCAGAAAACCTCTTACCCTCAAGGTATTTTTAATTGAGCAACCCAAGCATACATAATCTAGAATTACAACTTTTCGATACCACTATGGAGCTCTTTTGAATTCTTCACTTCCTTGATAACTTGATCTTTGATCTCTTTGAATTCACCACCTTGTTGTTTGATTTTTGGTATCTTCAACTTTTTGGATTTCTTGGAATTTTGATCTTTAGATCTTCACTTTATTTGCTCCAAAATTCTTACAACTTTTCTAGTACTTCTCTGTTTTTTTTTACATGTATTCCTCACTTTTTTCACTCAAATCCCTACATGCTTAAGCAGGGGCGCTCAATCTCAACCTTTATTGGCTAACGATAACAATTTTCCTGGATACATTTCAGGTTTAGCCTGCTAAACGTATTGCATCCCTCAGGCTGAGCAAGGTCGTGTTTTTGTCTCATGATTTCACTGAAATAAGGAAGCCACAAATGCACTAGAACGTGTATAGGCTCAACTAAACATTTCGGTTTTCATGCAATTATCAACATAATTCTAACATGGAATCCTAATTTTCTTTACCAAAATTTTCTAAATTAAATCCCTAAATCATATTTTTGGTATGCAACAATTTTTTTTTAAAATTTGCCTAAATTAAGATTCTAAATTTTCTAATATGTGACTAACCCCCTACCCCACACTTATTTTATGCAATGCCCTCATTGCATATTATGCAAAAATAAAAATGCAAATATAGAGAGAATTGTAACAAACTACCCTGGGGTAGCAATCGATAGGTTGACACTCTTCTTTCAAGCTCCAACTTCAATTGACTT